TGTGGCTGTTTACTGAGCACCTGCTCTGTGCCGGGCCCTGTTTGAGGCCCTGGGGATTCAGGGAAGGAGGGGGCTGGTCAGCTGGAATTTGTAAATACCTTCCAGTCTTCTCTTTGATCCTTTCAATCTGGAAGGCTCCGTGGTGCCATGGAGGTACCATGGCTCCGTACCAAGCAGTCATAGCTTGCTTTCACACAGCCGGGGCCCAACCCCAGGCTTTCCTCAGATGAGCAAGACAGACAGACGCGGCCCTCAGCGCCTGCTTTTCCTAGGGGGGCGCGGGGGGTGGGTAGTCACCAAGCACGCCGACAGATGGATACTGTCGTGCTGGGCAGTGACTCATGCCCTCATAGGAGAGGAGAGAGCAGGTTAGGGGGCTGGACTGGGCAGCTGCTTTAGCGTGGGGATCCCTAAGGAGGCGCCAACTGAGCAAAGAGCTGGAGGAAGCCAGGAATGAGCCGTGCCCGCCCTCCCCCTTCCACTTCTCATCCGCTGTCTGGCTTCTAGTGGCCAGAAAATCCATTGAGGTTCAGATGGAGGTTAAAAGCCCAGGCCCTGCTTTCTACCTGCCTTCCTGGCCCACAGGAATCCACGGACCCTCTCGCAGGGTCACACGGAAGCCAGGGGTTCAGTGGAGATGCAAACCCTGGCCAATGCCAGAAGCATCTTCTGGGGAGATGGGGGCAGCCTGGGGACAGATCCCAGGCCCCGCCACAAGGTGGCAGGGGACAAGTCCTGGGAGAACCCAAACTCGGCCTATTGGCTGGGAGTCTCTCCAAGATTCCAGGAGACTCCTGAGAGGCGGCCAAGCCTGACCCTGACCCTCTCCTTCCTTCACAGGGCAGAGTCCGAGGTGTCCCCCAGACCAGCCTCCCCCAAGGTCAGTAGCAGTCCCTCGGAGGCAGCCACTCCAGCGGAGGACATGGCTCGGAGGAGTAAGTTGGCAGGGGGAGAGAGAAGGGGAAAGAAGGTGCGCAGGGAGAGGGCCCATGTTTTCAGATAGCTGGCGAGGCCAGAAATCCAGGTGGCCAAGAGCACAGGTTTGCTGCCTGACACTCTGGGTTCAGATTCCAGATCTGTGACCTTGGGCAGGTGACTGCACCATGTCCGCCCCTCCTCCTCTGCGTCATGGAGCAATAACCACACCTGCTCTGTAGGGCAGTTTGTTAAATGGTGCTGCCTGACTCACACCTGGCACACAGTACATGCTCGATGAAGCTCCGGCATCACGGGGTGGGGGGGGCTGTGGAGTCCGCCCCCCCGAAGTCCAGAGAGCGGAGTGAAGAGGAGGGAAGGTGGGATGGAGGCTTCAAAGGGCAAGGAGAGGGGGAGGTGGTGGTGGTGAGAAGAAATTTGGGGCTCCCCTCTGCCCCTTTGGTGCACGTACCTGTTGACTTGGCCTAAAGCCAAGCAGGTGAGAAGGCCCAGGGTTCAGATGGGGAGACCCTGCTAGGGACCAGGACACTTGGGAGGGCCCAACCAGCCCAAGAGGCACTGGAGTTTTCTACGTGGGGGGTACAGCTGACAGATCACAGAGGGACCTTCCTGCAGGATGGGGCGTCTAGGGACATGTGCTCACTGGAGCATAGCACCTCAAGTGCCCAAAGGTCCTCGTGCCAGCCCTGGGAGGTCCAGGCTTGCATCCCATCTCCCCGATGAGGAAACTGAGGCCCCAGGGGGCATGTGATTTGCCCAAAACCCACAGTGGGTGGAGGCGAGGCTAGGACCAGAGTCAGGCCTCCTGGCCCCTCAGCTGCCTCATGAGGTTGGAACTGTGCAGTGGGATCTCTGAAAACTAGGGTGGGGGGTTTCTGGTGGGCTCCTGAGAGGTGAGCAAGACCCCAGAGTCAGGGGGGACAGCTAGCATTTCTTTGTTCAACAAATACATATTGAACACCCACTCCGTGCCCCCAACACTGTGCTAGGCAACCTCACATAGGATGGCCTCACTTCGTTTACCTTCTCATCAGGGAGTCGAGCAAAATAAAAACGGACATGCTCCTTTCAGAGGGCAGAAAGCCCTATGAAGAAGATACAACAGGAAAATATGACAGTACCTGGAGCAGGGCAGGGGAAGGGGTACTCTAGCTGAGGGGGTGAGGCCCATGAAGAGAGGCCTAAGTGATGAGGAGCCAACCGTGGAAACAGTATTCCTGGCAGAAGGAATGGCAGATACAAAGGTCCTGAGGTGGATGCCTAACTGCCCCTGTCCTTCCTCCACAGCCAAGCGCCAAGCGCCAGCCCGGCCCACCATGCCGCCCCCCCAGGTCTCCAGCACGCGCTCCTCCCCTCCAGCCCCACTCCTGCCACCTGGCTCTAGCAGCCCTGTGATCCCCCAGGCTCTGCCCCGCCGTCTGGTTAGCAGCAACCTCCGGGCCCCTACAGTGCCACCCCCCTTGCCCCCCAATCCTCCCCAGCCCGCCCGGCGCCAGAGCCGGCGTTCACCAGCCTCCCCCAGCCCCGCCTCCCCAGGGCCGGCCTCCCCCAGCCCTGCTCTGAGCATTCCGGCTCAGGTGGACCTGGGGGCGGCCCCAGAGGAGGGAGGGGCCCCTGAGGCTGTAGGCGGGGCCTCCACTCCCCCAGCCATCCCCCCTCAACCCCGGCCCAGGAGCCTTGCCTCAGAAACCGACTGAGCGGGCTGCCCCTCTGCAACAGCCCCTCAGCATCTCCTCCCTCCCACCTGTCCGCCCAGGACACAGCCCTCACCCTTCCCCGGGGTGGGGGCCTCCAGCTTTTGCCTACAAGTGCCTCGGTGCCCGCTGGGTCGGCCCCCATGGCAAGGAGGACTCAGGACAGTCCTCCACCTCCAGACCTTTCCCTCTGCAGCCGCCCTGGGCTTGGGGATCCCTCACCCGACTCGCAGCTCTCTGGCAGGGTCCCCGGGGAGCGGCCGGAAGGAAGGAGGGGCTTGCCTGCTCCTACAGGACTGTTATTTTTCTCTTGCCAACAGATTGTTTTGTAAGGCTGGTAAATAAATTATTTTGGACAAAACTAGAGCAGCTGCCCCAATGATAGTTGGGTTGTTTCTTCTGCCCTCAAAATAAAGAAGCCACTTGCATGAAAGGGAAGATACACCCTCTTCTTTGCCTCCTTCCTTTCTTCCTATCTGAAAGAAAAAGGGCCAGCATTTTCAGCGCTTACTCTGTGCTCTCCACTGTGCTTTTCCATGCATGGTTTCCATAGAATCCTCTCCCGGGGAAGTAAGTCCCATTACCTTTGACTGGTTGAGGAGAGACTGAGGCTCAGAAAGCGACCTGCCAGGCACACAGCAAGTGAGGCGTGGACATGGAATCAGGACCCATTTCTCGCTGATTCCAGAGCCTGGGCCTGTCCCTCACAGCCTGAGCAGCTCACTTCTTAGTGCTCCAGTTTCCTCATCTGGGAAACGGTACAGCCATCTCCACCCCAGAAGTGTTCTGAGGATTACACGAGACATTCCTGTAAAGACCAAAGCACCACCCTTGCACACAGAAGCACCCTAAGAGTTGGCTGCGGTGGATGTCAGCTCCCCCAACTCCTGGTGTTCTCAGAGTAGGCAGGAAAGGCTACTCAAGTTGCAGGGCTGGATCCGTCTGCAAACCACGGTGGCTGCTCCGTGCTGGACCCTGGGCCAGGGCCCCAGCTCAGCCCTACACTCAAGGAGCTCCCGGGAGCAGACAGGCAGGAGAGCTGACAATCAGAATCAAGCGTAATGGCACTGGGAGCCCATGTCAAGCCAGTTAGGGGCTGACAAGCTAACCCAAACTCTGTGTGGAGGGCACAGGAAGACTTCGTGGAAGAGGTGCTTCAAAGAGGAGGCTTTTAGGAGTTGACCAGGTGAAAAAGTCAGGGAAGAAGGAAGAACATTCCAAGCTAAGGAGACTACCTGAGACAGGAGCCAAAGGCCAGGGCATTGGGGAACAGGAATTATTTGAGCCTCAGAGAGGGGGGACACGATAGGGTGGCTTTTCCCAGGTCTTTGGAGCTCTGGTTGCTCCTGGAGGTCAGGTCTCCTGCGCCTTCTCAGAAGTTGGCTGACAACTTGGAATTGTGACACATGCCTCCCCAGGTGGGGGCCGAGGCAGCCAAATCACCCCAATCGCTGCCCTGGGCAACTGGCTACTGCTCTGGCTCCTTCCGTCCCCAGGGTGCTTAGTGACTGGCTGCCTCTGGCAGCTTGGCGACCCAGTGCCTCTCCACCCTGGCCTTGGGTAATTAAAAAACAAAAACCGAAAATATCTCGGCCCCACCCAAAACAAATCAGAATCTCTGGGGTGCAGCCATGCTTTGGTATTTTTAAAAAGCGTTTGTCAAAGTCATCGAGCCGTACATTTAAGATCTGCTCATCTTACTTGTATGTAAATTAAATCTCAAAATATAAGTTCCCCAGGGGACTCCACCAGCCAGCATGGAGAACGACTGGTCTGGGCCAGGGACCCCCGCGCTCGAGAAGACACTATGTGCCTCTCTCCCATCATCATACCGACACGCTTCTCAGGACTTGGCTCAGTACTGGAGCGTCCAGGGTTCAGAGGGCAATGAGATTTGACCCAAAGGCAACATCTCCTTTAGCATCTGTTTTCCTCCTAGCAACCAGCTCTCCTAAGCTTCCGATTGGCTGGGGAACGCAAGGGAGGCTAATCGCTCCAGATTTTCTATTCATAACTCTTTATTGGCCAAGAAGAACGTCAGTCCATCCTTTAATTGGCTAGTCGGGGTTGAAACTCGGCGGCGACTGGCCTAGGAGAGCTAGGGGGCGGGGCGAAGGCTAGGTCTTCACTGGTCTCCTCCCCTCAGCGGCGGCCGAGATTTACCCTTTTCTCCCCGCTCCGTTAGGTAGAGGCCTCGCTCCTCTCCGAGGTTCTTGCCCCCATTGGCGCGCGGACCAGGCCGTGACCCCGCCCCGTGGCCCTTCCAGCGCGCCGATTGGTCGCTGCGGGGAACGGGGCGGGCTGAGGGCAAGCGCGCCGTGCCCGCAGAGGGAGAGCGGCGCGGCGCGGGGGTGCGGGCGGCCAGCCGGCTGCATGGCGCGCTGCGAGCGGCTGCGCGGCGCGGCCCTGCGCGAAGTGCTGGGCCGGACGCAGGGGGTCCTGTTCGACTGCGACGGAGTGCTGTGGAACGGCGAGCGCGCCGTGCCGGGCGCCCCGGAGCTGCTGGAGCGGCTGGCGCGGGCCGGCAAGGCGGCGCTGTTCGTGAGCAACAACAGCCGGCGCGCGCGGCCCGAGCTGGCTCTCCGCTTCGCGCGCCTCGGCTTCGGGGGGCTGCGCGCCGAGCAGGTCTTCAGCTCCGCGCTGTGCGCCGCGCGCTTGCTGCGCCAGCGCCTGCCCGGGCCGCCGGGCGCGCCGGGCGCCGTGTTCGTGCTGGGCGGCGAGGGGCTCCGCGCCGAGCTGCGCGCCGCGGGGCTGCGCCTGGCGGGGGACCCCGGCGAGGACCCGGGCGCGGCCCCGCGCGTGCGCGCCGTGCTCGTGGGCTACGACGAGCACTTCTCCTTCGCCAAGCTGAGCGAGGCGTGCGCGCACCTGCGCGACCCCGACTGCCTCCTCGTGGCCACCGACCGCGACCCGTGGCACCCGCTCAGCGATGGCAGCCGGACCCCCGGTGAGCGCGGGGCTGGCGGGGAAACTGAGGTGGGGTGGCGACCTGCGCTCTCCCCTCCATGCCTAGGGGAGAGGGGCGAAGAAGGGGTGTCTCCAGGTGACAGGTGGGGACCCGGAGAGATGCGAGGGCGGTTCCCACCCTGCAAGAGCCCAGGCGAGCTTTGTCATTCATGGCCACGTCTGGTAATTCTTGAAACTGCCACCACTTGAGGGGCAGTAATAGGGCCCCCGTTTAACAGATGAGGAAACAGAGGCCCGTTGTGGCTCAGGGGGTTGCAGGCGGACTCCCAGCCCCGGCCTTCCCGAACCCGCCTCAGCGACCCCTGTCATTTTGTCCCACTCTCCAATCAGGGGTTGAGGTCGGAGGGTTGGGAAACAGCCTGGAAGGATTGTTCCCTTGTTGAGCTGTTGGAACACCATTGGCAGCCGCAGGTTGGAGGCGGGAGTGTGAGGAGCATAGGAGGTGGATGGAGTTTGACCTGAGTTCCAGTTCCAGCTCCAGGACTCAGTAATCTTAAGTTACATAACCTCGGAGCATCGCTGTCCTGGGTGTAAAATGGGAAGGCTCACCATGCCATTTCCTCCCAGGGGAGAGTGATCAGGGTGACTGCCCGGCACATAGTAGGTGTGGGTTGTATCCAGAGCCCTCTTACGTAATTACAGAGCTTTATGAAGTACCTTGCTGTTTGTTCTTAACTTAGTTTCTAAATTACTCTGGAGATGACCCATTCTCAGTTAAAGAAACTGAGGCTGAGAGAGGGGAATTGAGCTGCCCAAGAGCAGGAGGACCTGGGGGCTCAGTTGGTTAAGCGACTGCCTTCGGCTCAGGTCATGATCCTGGAGTCCCAGGATTGAGTCCCGCATCGGGCTCCCTGCTCAGCAGGGAGTCTGCTTCTCTCTCTGACCCTCTTCCCTCTCGTGCTATCTCTCATTCTCTCTCTCTCTCTCTCAAATAAATAAATAAATAAAATCTTAAAAAAAAAAAAAAAGAGCAGGAGGACCTGAACTTGGCCCTGTTGTGGCCACCCCAACCCCCACCCCACCCCCATCCAGGGCACCCTTTACTGCTGTCATCTGGGTATTAAGGCCTTCAGAGGAGGCAGGAGCAGGTGGAGGCTTCTACATCTTGGAGGGTTTGAGTTAGTCAAGAGCAGGTGGTAGGGCGCCTGGGTGGCTCAGTTGGTTAAGCGACTGCCTTCGGCTCAGGTCATGATCCTGGAGTCCCGGGATCGAGTCCCACATCGGGCTCCCTGCTCGGCAGGGAGTCTGCTTCTCCCTCTGACCCTCCCCCCCCTCATGCTCTCTCTCTCTCTCATTCTCTCTCTCAAATAAATAAATAAATAAAATCTTTAAAAAAAAAAAAAAGAGCAGATGGTAGCAGAAGCTAACTGCCAGTGCTAAGTGTGTGTGGACAAGTCAGTACCCCAGTCAGTAGCCTGAGGGTGGGGACATCTCCTTCACTCCCTTCTTGCTGGCCACTCATTTAGACTGTCATTGATACCAAATCCTGGGGGAGCGGGGCTGGTATTGACTGAGGAATAGACACAGTATTGTAATGGGGGGCAGGAAGGGCGTAGAGCCCAGGGGATCTGGGAAGGCTTCCTGGAGGAGGCATCCTGCAGGACAGGGCTGTAGGGGATGAAACGTGGAGCAGGGCTTGGGCCATGGCAGAACCGATTCCTGGCTGGGAATCTATAGTTCTAGGCTAGTTCTGTCCTCGCTTTGTTGCAGACCTACTTGCTGCGTGTTCCAGTTTCCCCAAAAATCCAAACTGAGGGCTCTGGTCAGGGCTTTCGGCTGCAGCAGCTCCCGCCTGTCCTGGGCCATGCTATGAAAAGTGAGTTTCTCCCTGGAGGTTTCAAAGTTCAGGTTAAGGCTGTGGGTTAAGAGGCCTCCTAGGACTCAGGAAGGGTGGTGTGGAGGAGCTGGGGACAGGCCAGGCCCTGCCTATATGCCTCTGCCCCTTTCATCTCCAGCCCCACCTGGCTGTGTCGCAGGCCCTGTTGATCTTTCCCACGACCTAGAGGGGGAGGTAGAGGCTTAACTACAACACGGCTGTCATCTTCGTACACAACTGAATGATGTGGCTTTAAAACAGTGGTATAAAAATATTAATAAAGGCCCCGATATGCATAAAATCTGAAAAAATGCAAGTCTCTCACCCCAATGCCTCCTTCCCTGTGGGTCTCCTAAATTGTGTGTTTACCTTCTTGCCACATGGCAGCCACTTGAACTGGCAAATAGAAATGCCTGCTGAGGAATATGTCACCACCAAAACATGTGTCAGCCTTGGATTACAGGATGTTGGGTTTTTTTGTTTTTAAGATTTATTTTAGAAAGAGAGCATAAGAGCAGGGAATGGGGCAGAGGGGGAGGGGCAGAAGGAGAGGGAAAAGGAGAGAATCCCAAGCAGACTCTGAGCTGAGCACAGAGCTGGACGTGGGGCTCCATCTCACAACCCTGAAACCATGATCTGAGCTGAAACCAAGAGTCAGACACTTAACTGAGCCACGCAGGCGCCCCAGATTATAGGATGTTAAATGAAGTGGCATAATGGTGGTCTGAGGACAGAGCTATGTTCCTAGACGCCCCTGCTAGGATGCGCATGCCCCTAGGGTAGGGATCCGTGCTGCCTTCCCTGATGTATGCACAGTGCCTAGCAGAGTGCCTGGCGTGTAGTTGGGCCTCAGTAAATATTAGCTGAGTGCATATAGTGGGACATGGGGGGCCAAGGGTGATCAGCTCTGTCCTGGTGGGAGAGGAAGTTGCTGACGCCGTTGAGACCATTCTGGAGGGGAGAAAAACACTTCGGGGTGACTCAGTTGAGCCCTTCCCATCCTGGAAGGAATTTTTAACCAACGGGGCAAATGGCTTTTCTTCCCTACCCAGTTATCAAGAAAACAAGTAGGCAAGCTCTAGGTCAGATGTCAGGAAGAACCTCCCAGCAGCGTTGCTCTGCTCTGGGTCAGCTCTGCCCTGATCCCGTGACCCTGGGGAAGTTCCTCCTCCTTGTCTGGGGGCTGGCCAGGCTGAGGATTCTTTGCTATTTGTGCCCGTTCTTCTGTTCTGTAGCTTTGACTTAATGGGGGGGAGGCGGGGGTTGAACTATACCATTTCCCAATCTCTGTGGTGTAAATACTCCCACCATAGCAAGGTTCAAGCTGCCAATATCAAGTCACTGAATGTGGAGTTGGGAAGATTTGTGCACACCATTATATAGTATTTCCATCATTATAGATGTAAATAATCTCCAGAGCATAGATAATGGCAAAATAGTTAGGAAGTAATGAACTTTGAAAATTTATTACCTTTGTTTTAAACATAATTAGACCATAAGTTTATATAAGTTGACTTTTTCATAGTGGCTTTAACAACGGGCTCACAGAATTCCTGAAAATGAAACATTCAGCACTGCCAAGCCAGTACCAGCTGGCCCAGTACACGACTGGGTCAGACCCACCTGAACACATACCCTGTGTCTGCCATTATTAGGCTGTGCGACCCTGGATAAGTTACTTAATGGCACTGAGCATCAGCTTTCTCATCTGTAAAATGGGCTTCCGTGAGCAGCCAGCACAGCCCCTGGCACTTTAGAATGTGCTTAGTAAATTGTGATCATCATCATCATTTGTTCAGGGACATTAATGTGAAGGCCGAGAACCTTGCAGCACAAAGACGGGCCTGTGGGACGGACACAGTGGACTCATTGTGTGGGGGGGGCAGGACGGTCCTGGGCTGAGAGTCAGGGCTGTCCTTTTCTAAACAGTCTTCCTATTGTTAAATACTTGGGCGCTTTCACAGTTTTGCTTATTATAGTTACTGCGGCCACGGACATCTTCAGGCATGTAGCTTTTTTGTCTCCGGCTTGAATTCTCTCCCTGTGATCACTTTCCTGGCCGCCGAGGCTGACTGGGGCCGAGACGTAAACATTTCTGTGCCCTGCCTCGTTCTAAGAGGGCTGTGCCCGTTCCTGCTGCCAGGAGCCCACGTTCTTGCAGCAGTAACACAGCTTCTGTCTGTTTCCCTGGCACTTTTATCTGCTTTTCTGTTTCCCAGGCAGTTGCCCCTGCAGTGCCCACAGCACCTCTTTGAAGGTAGGCCTGACTTGGATCCCCCTGTTCCAAGGACTGACTGAGCCAGGCCCAGTTACACGCAGTGTGGCTCATTCAGCCCCTACAGGGCCATATTAGAGATGGGGAAACTGAGGCACAGAGAGGCGAAATGGCCTGCCTAAGAAGGGTGGAGATGACAGAGTCTGAATGCAGGCCTCTGGTTTCAGGCCCTGTCCCTGTAACCACTACAATAAGACTTGGAAGACTTTTGACTCATTTCAGTGCCTAATCTAACCCCCCACGCCAAGCTGCCTCCCTGGAAGCCCAGCATCCGAGCCGGGATGCCCTCCCTGCTGCCACTCGGCACTGACCACGTCTCCATCTCCCTGCAGGCACCGGGAGCCTGGCTGCTGCCGTGGAGACAGCCTCGGGCCGCCAGGCCCTGGTGGTGGGCAAGCCCAGCCCTTACATGTTCGAGTGTATCACCGAGCACTTCAGCATGGACCCCGCCCGCACGCTCATGGTGGGCGACCGCCTGGAGACCGACATCCTCTTCGGCCACCGCTGTGGCATGACCACCCTGCTCACGCTCACAGGTGTCTCCCGCCTGGAGGAGGCCCAGGCCTACCTGGCGTCTGGCCAGCTCGACCTCGTGCCCCATTACTATGTGGAGAGCATCGCGGACTTGATGGAGGGGTTGGAGGACTGAGCCCATGTGACCGGCACTGCAGCCCCATCCCTCCCCCACCCTGATCCCGTAGATGGAGGCAAGGGGCCAAGAGCTGCAGGCTCCTGGGCCCCATTTTCTGCAGCCTGGTGGGGTTGGGACCCAGGGAAGGTTTTAGGGCCCTCACATCCCCTCCCAGTGGTGGCTGGGCACTCTTTGCTGTTCCAGAAGCAGTCCCCCTTCCCCCACCAGTTCGCCCTGGCCTAACCAAGCCAGGTGCCCTTATTTCCTCGCCTGTGACCTCCCCTCTTTGAAATCTGGGCCTTGATGCCCGCTGAAGATTTCCCCCAGCCCTGAACACTTAATGCCCTAGTCCCTCCTGGGGCGGGGTGGGGGGGGTTGCCTCTAGAGCTCTGTCTGCCCCTGGAGCCCTGGCCCTGGGTTCCTGATGACCAATCAGAGGCCTAGGTAACCACTAACCCTACTGTGCCCTGAATGGACCAATCAGAAGGCTAAGCAAGAGTGACTCATTGATGGGTCTGTCCTGAGGGGTTTCATTGGGAACCTAAAGTGACAATGACCCTTTGATGTTCTGAAGCCAGAGTGGACCAATCGGAAGGCTGAGTGGCAATGACCCTTTCATGTCCTGGGTCCTGAGTGAGACCAATCAGAATACAGAGTTATAATGACTCATTGGTCTCTTAGATCCTGAAGAGAACAATCCAGAAGTCTGAGAGACAGTGGCCCCTTAACGGTCTGGATCTGACTGGACCAGCTAGGGGTCCAGATGTCAATAAGTAAGGGTCCAAGGGCTGGAGACACCCCTCCTCCACAAAGATTGTGATCCGGGGGTCCACGCAGTGGCTCTGGGGGCTTCTGTAGTGGAGCCCCACCCTTCCCTGATGATGGTACCGGACCAGCGTTGGTGGTGGCCACAGCTCCGGAGGGCGGGGCTTTTGTGTCCCTCCCTGTGCTGTCCATGTTTGCTGTGCCACCTCTCCACCCCCATGCCCACCCCCAGCTATTTATTTATTTATTTATTTATTATCGTGTGCCAGTGATGGTGGGAGTGGGGGCTGGCCCTTCCCACCGCTTCCACCTGTTGTAACCGGTCCTCTCGTACTTAATAAAGTGCGAGTGGAGTGTCTGTGTGGGCTCAAGTCTGTGTGAGCAGCGGGGCAGGAGGAGGACCCCCTGCCTGCGCCTGGTCTCCACAGAACTGGCCCGGTGCACCCTTCCCCTGCGTGAAATGACCCACCTCAGGACCAGAGCATTTTCTGTGTGTAGAACTTACTACCTTAACCTGATGGCACGTTGTGCCTCACAGGGGCTTTAAATACCAATTTCTTTTCAGTCCTTCAGAAGACAGCGAGCTTGTAGTACTCCGCCCGTTTTGCCACTTGGGGAATGAAGATCAGAAATGCGGCGTTAGGGGGCACCTGGGTGGCTCAGTCGGTTAAGCTTTCGACACTCGATCTCAGGGTCCTGAGTTCAAGCCCCACTACTTAAAAAAAGATGCTCCAGAAACATGGGTCTAACTTACCAGTGGCACACATCTAGAAAGCATGATCTCCTGAGGCCGGATTTGAACTTGTGTTGGCCGATCCAGGAGGCTGCAGCCCCCACTCTGCCAAGACTGAAGGGGAAAGAGATCCCAGCTCTCCTGGAGCTCAGGTGAGATACTGCGGCCCCACCTACCCCCTTCAGGCACCCCTCCCCCCAGGTGCTGTGAGCTGGCCGAGGGCAGCCTCTTGGGGAGAGGCTCCGGCTGTTCCAGGCCTGACTGACAGGAGTTTGCACAAGGCCTTCCTGCTCAACCTCTTCCCTCACGCGTGCAGTGAGGGGCGGGACTGCGAGGTCTGGGAGATGCTCCTGCGAAGAGGGAGTGCTTGACGGAGCCTGGCTGCATCATGAAGTCCTCTTTTCACTCTTGGAGACTTCTGGCTCTGACAGGGACTCCGCTCAGCCGGCTAAGGCCTACGGGAGTTCCCTGGCTGCCCCTGTGAGGTGGTCCAGCCCTCTCCAGGTGTATCCCTCTCAGCTAGCTGTGCTACCTCATCCGACCCACATCCCAGGGCTGACTCTCGAGTGGGCCCGGCTTACGTCACATGCCCGTCTCAGAACCTGTGTCCGAGGGGGTAGAGCAGAGCTCTTGGCTTTGGCCATGTGCCCCCCGGAGGAGGTGAGTGCCCGCCTCCCTGGCCCCACTCTGTTCCTAGCAGCCACCTTCCTTGTGGACAGAAACCTGGTGTCCTTGAGGGAAGCACATGGTGGTCTGTGAATCAGAAGGGGGGGCATCTCAGTCCTGGGGAGGGACTCTTGACTGGTTTAAAGCTTGAATCATGGTTATTTGATCCCTTCCCCCAGTGATTGATTTAACCGTGGACTTGTGATACACTTCTAAGACATGAGGGGAGGTCTGTTGGGAGATTCTGGAAATAGTTGCCTCACTTTTAAAGAAGGCCCTGGATGGAGGAGGGAAACACTCTTCTGGGCTTTGGGTGTGGAAGCTGTTGCAGCCATTCTGTGACCATGAGGCCAACCCAACATACTTTACTCATGACTCTGCTTCAGGTGGCAGAGCAGAAAGATGGGAAGAACTTTTGGGGGCCGTTTCCCCAAACTTCTTAATTTTTTTAAAATATTTTATTTTTAAGGAATCTCTACACCCAGCATGGGGCTCAAGCTCACAACCCCAAGGGCAAGAGTCGCATGCTCTACCAACGGAGCCAGCCAGCGCCCCTTCCCCAGAAAAGTTTAAATAAAACAGGTAGAAGTGCAAGAACGGCACAATAAACACCCATATGCCCTTCCCCTGGATTCCCAGTTAGTATTTGAGGAAGCTGATGCCACCAATCCACAAAATGAAATAACTCCTTCCCACTCTACTCCCTGGTTTCACTAGTTTCCTGGTTTTGCCATCCCCCACATTGACTCCCCTCTTGTGACCAGAGGCCTTAGAGGGAATTTCTATTGACTGCATCATTTTTTTTCCTATGGAGGTGGCTTTGAGGCTAGGCGCTGAAGCTCAGACTCACTGAAATCTGAGCTTGGTCGGCATAGCGTCCCACCCAGCACTCTCTTTTGAGATTTCATTTTAGCTCTTACAGATGACCATGACCAGGGGATGGTATACGTGGCTTTTTTTTTTTTTTTTTTTTGCTCGCATTTCCTTACGTGTCCAGTAATCCAAGTCCCCAGGAGTCAGAGCCATCTCTAAATTCCATCGGTAACTTTTACCGTTAGTAACAGTACGGCTCAGCTGCCCATGGCTACGTGGCCACCCGGGAATCAAAGGTTCCTCTTCCCTGCCCTTCCTTTCTCTTCCCTAACCACATGTTTCCATGAGCCTGGGCAGCTCTAGCAAATCCCACTTCTCCACCAACTAAAAGGGAAAACTGTTTCCTCTACCCACAGAACACTTCTGACACCACATGTGTGGGTTTTCTGCACCAAGCAAGTCTGTACTTTTAGGCAGACACCAACTGGGTGTCCTAGAATTCAGTTCAATTCTGGCACTACCTCGAGTTTGTGCAGGCCCCCCGGGTTAAGGGTTCAGTCCCACAAGACTCTGCCCACCCCCCTTCAGGTGCCCCCCCCAAGTCCCAGGGGTCACCTGTGCTTTTGACCAACTGGCTATAAATTGGAGATTCCCAAAGCCCCCTTCTCAGATTCAATAATTTGCTGTAACAGCTCACAAAACTCAGGGAAACATTTACGTTTACTGGTTTATTATATAACAAATGATACGTAAGGATACAGACGAAGAAACACAAAGGACGAGGTCCAGGAGCTTCTGTCCCCATGGAGTTAGGGTATGTCACCCTCCCACTACGTAGATGTGTTCACCAGCCCAGAAGCTCCAAACCCTAGAGTTTAGGGATTTTTTTTTTTTATGGAGCCTCATCACATAGACATGATTGATCGTAACTCAGTCTTCAGCCCCTGTTCCCTCATTGGAGCCACTGAATTAACGGCCATGGAGACCTCATTACAGACTTGTTATGTGAAAGTTTCCCTTAATTTTATTTTTTTTTAAGATTTTATTTATTTGAGAGAGCGAGAATGAGAGAGAGAGAGCACATGGGGGGGGAGGGTCAGAGGGAGAAGCAGACTCCCTGCTGAGCAGGGAGCCCGATGCGGGACTCGATCCCGGGACTCCAGGATTATGACCTGAGCCGAAGGCAGTCGCTTAACCAACTGAGCCACCCAGGCACCCCGAAAGTTTCCCTTAATTTTATTTTATTTTATTTTTTTTAAAGATTTTATTTATTTGACAGAGAGAGACACAGCGAGAGAGGGAACACAAGCAGAGGGAGTGGGAGAGGGAGAAGCAGGCTTGCCTGCAGAGCAGGGAGCCCGATGCGGGGCTCGATCCCAGGACTCTGGGATCGTGACCTGAGCCGAAGGCAGACGCTTAACGACTGAGCCACCCAGGCGCCCCTCCCTTAATTTTAAAGCGATTTCCTTTGAGTTTCTGTTACTCGCCGCCAAAAACTCTCCTGATATACAGGCCCTGGACACCTTATAGAAAACATTAAAATGGGGCACCTGGGTGGCTCAGTTGTTAAGCGTCTGCCTTCGGCTCAGGTCATGATCCCAGGGTCCTGGGATCGAGCCCCGCATCAGGCTCCCTGCTCCGCGGGAAGCCTGCTTCTCCCTCTCCCACTCGCCCTGCTTGTGTTCCGTCTTTGGCTGTGTCTCTCTGTCAAATAAAATCTTAAAAAAAAAAAAAAACATTAAAATGCACCCACTTCCTGGAAGTCCCACATTAAATATATATGGGCTTTTTGTTTATACATTTTTGATGTATTTTTATACATTTGTTTTATTTTTTATTTTATTTATATATATTTTTAAAGATTTTGATTATTTTGAGAGAGAGTGAGTGAGAGAGAGAGCACAAGCCAGGGGGAGAGGCAAAGGGAGAAGCAGACTCCCCGCCAAGCAGGGAGCCCGATGCGGAACTTGATTCCAGGACCCTGGGATCAGGACCTGAGCCAAAGGCAGATGCTTAACCGACTGAGCCACCCAGGCGCCCCTATATGTTTGTTTTAGACAT